TAACAATTTGACACCATACCTACTCTGTTAGAAGTGACACTATACAATTATCTCATTATAAGATTAAGAGACCAGAGAGCATATTTGCTTAGTTAAATACATCATATTGTAAAAGTAGAAATCCTGGCAGGAATGGATTTGCTAATAATAAATTATAATAATACTACACCTATAGTTAATCATGCTAGGGCCATCCATACAACAGATACATTGATGAACAGAAAAATAAAATTTTACCGTTGTCTCATTAAGGGTATATTGATACAGTTGGCAGCAGCTACAGCAGCAAAGGGAACAAATCTTCCAATTAGGGGTGAGACATGCTAAAGAAAAATAAAGCAAAAATGGGTGATTTTTTATTATTACCTTGATTTAGTGAAATATCAGAACCAAGAACATGGCACATAGCTTGAAGGATTAAACAATAAAATTAAAACTGTTAAGAGAAGAAAATAAATTATCAAACCACTGATAATGCAAAGCACGTCATGACAATTACTGCTGGTTGTACACAACTTTCTCTGATTAAACCAGAATATCTATCCGCAGGCTATTCCAATATGTGTGGGCATGTGTATATACATATACGCATTTGATTGATATATATGCAATTTGTATTTCTAAGGTGATAAAACAGGACTCTCGTATTTTGCAGACAGATTCCTTTTCAGGGTTCGAGAACAATGACAGACTACTTTGTTGGTAACACAATCATTATAAAGTGATTACAGGCCTTCCCCAATCCACATCAACTCACAGAATCAAAAATTATTTCTTTTTTAATAACACATATTTTCTCCAACAATATATGTCTTGACCATAGTAATTTACATGGCATTCTGTGGTCAAGGTCACATGCTACCGGATGTATACTTTGTATTAGAGTGAACACAAGTTAAATGGATATAGGTTAATTCTGGTAATTAGGTTACAAAACAAATATGAATGTCAAGTACCTTGGTTAGTGCATTTAGTCCTAGAGCTGTCGCAACAGCACCTGTGGTGGCAGAAACATAAGCTGTTCCCAGTTGGCTAAAACAACAAGAGGCAGAGGTGTTTGCATGTGTATAGTCAGTTTATGTTAAAAATCCAGTCCAAAGGCATTACATGATATAACAGAGAAATGGGAGGAAAAAAAATGGAGATTTAGTAGATTAAGAACTTAAGACACAATTTTAATAGCACATAAACGAACAATGAATTTGCAGCTAGGTTGCAAAATATTCCTTTGTAATTGAAATTCTCCCTTTCAAAAAACTACTAAAAATTATATGAATACAAACCAAAACCAAAACTCTGGGAAAACTGTTCTTAATTGCTGGCACTCAACTATGTTTTGATAGCTAGCTTAAAAAAAAAAAAAAAAGGAAGGAAGAATTAACAATAGATACCTTTCAGCTAGTGTTTAATGGCATGCCCTTAAATGGTTACTCTAAGAACCATGACCACGTCAGTGATTCGAAGTGGTCATGGTGGTAGGAGTATGAATGTGCACTGTTTCTGCTTGCAACACTGCACATGCAGAGCTATTTTTAATTGTGTGCCGGAGGATAGTTCCACCTCAAGCACATGTGACTTAGGCAGCCCAGAACACTGTTTCACACTGGCGAATGTCAATTCTGTGCATAAAACACATCTGTCATTTATGTGCTGGCAACAGATGTAATAATAGCCATGCCTGCATGTGGAATATAGTTTTCACCTCCCTCATTGTGTGTACTCCCCCTGCTTACATGAGAAAAAAAAATAAGAAAAAAAAAAAAAATGATAGAGATAATATACATACATAATATATATATATATATATATATATATATATATATATATATATATATATATATATATATATATATATATTTATTATTTATTAATTCAGGCACTCACCCCTGAAGTATTCCCAATACAACTGCCTTTGGTGCTTCCGACGTCCAAAATATAGATAAATCGATAAGATGGAGCACTCAAAAGGACTTCAACACGGTGTATTTATTGTGACGAAAAGTTTACAACATAGTGCAAATAATTCTGATCAGAATTATTTGCACTATGTTGTAAACTTTTCGTCACAATAAATACACCGTGTTGAAGTCCTTTTGAGTGCTCCATCTTATCGATACATATACATATACATATATATATATATATATATATATATATATATATATATATATATATATATATATATATATATATATATATATAATATATATATTTATTTTTATCTCCCTCCCACCCCAGCTCGGAGTGTGTGCATGCACTCTGATCCAGTGAAAGAGTCCAATCACAGGCTTCTCTATAAGAAGCCAATGATTGGACCGTGCAAGTGCAGAGCTGACATCAGTGGTGGGAGTGGAGACCAGCTGGACATCATGTACATTTTAAATCATTTTTACAAGGTTTGAGGGGCTGGAGACCCAATAGTAATGCCCCATAGGGCATTGTAAATGGGTAAAATATGTAGTCTTAAAAAGGGTTTAAGTCTATTACCTATAATAGCAAAGACCCTCATAAATTGGCACAAGTATTCCATCTCCATTTCTATGGTACGTCATAAATTCAGCATAAATTAGTGATCCTGATCAGAGCTGGCTATAGAGCATTTCCCTTTCCCCATAGTAAAACCTAGACAGGTGTCTGTGTGACCAGACACTCAGTTACATGCCATGGTTGTAATAAATAAATATATAGTTCCCGCTATGACTATGCCTGAGAGTACTCTAGGAAATTATTTATTGCCTTTAAAAGTCTCACAGGCTACTAGATAACGGACACGTGGTGAAATGATAGCATTCCAAACATGAAACTTACTATATGCGATTATAAATATATATTTAATTGCCAGTGTTCAATACCCCCTTAACTCCCCAAAATGTTAGTGACAAACATGTGGATGGACAAATGACAAGTTAAGGCACAAACTGTAATTCTCTCATGCATGGAAAATGTACAATAACTAATATTTTACTTATCTCTAGAAAAATAAACTGCGTATAATCTCATAGGTAACATTTTTTTATAATACGAAAAAAATACAATGGAATGGTTCTATCGGTTTCATTAAAAATTGAACCCAAACACTTGCGCAGAAGGGGAAGAAAGAACAAAGAGTACTGGGATCTGAAATCAGCATTTTGTACGTCTTTCCTTAGAATACAAAACAGAAAAAAGTATGAAGGAAAAAGACAACAGAAGACTCAAAGCAGCCCGAAGTTAATCAACAGAACTAAACTATTCCAATACTGATTAACAAAAAAAACCAAAACACTCCACACAAATAAAGCACTTCAGCTTTATAGATGAGGAGCATCATATTGTACCTCCAATCAATAAAAGTGCAAAGTTCCATGAGAAATCTGCATGTCTATAATTAAAGGGAACCTTTAGTGTCAGGAAAACAAAGTTTTTTTTTTTCTGGCACTATAGCGCCCCCCCTCCATGTGTACCTAATTCCAACACTGATGTCCCTCAGTGCTGGTTCAGGCTCCGCATCTGCTCCTTAAAAACTGCAATAATTACCGTTGCAGGCTTAAGGAACCTGGGACACTGCACCCAGACCAGTTTAATAATCTGAAGTGGTCTGGGTGCCTATAGTGTCTCTTTAAGTTATGTCCTTGACTGACACTCAAGCAGCAAGGGAGGTTGCACCCCCCTTCTGTTAACTCCCTTGAGCAAACGGAAATGGCAAGTGTGCTCTACTTGCTCCCCTATTCTGTTCAGACTTGATGCACATGCATGTATCCATTGGGGATATATCTACTAAACAGCGATGTTCACTTAAAAAAAAAGAAAAAAAAAGAAAAAAGAAATTAGAATTTTTTTGCAGTGTGGTCCTTTAAACCATAGTAGAATATATTACATAAAATGAAAACTAGCGTGCATATAGGTACAAATGATCTGCTCATTCTTAACTTTGCACACAGTTTTACTTTTCATGACATGTCACTCAGCATTATCATTTTTAGGTCACCTTTTAGCCTTTCTGCAAAGGGCAAGAATCCAAAGAGGTAACGCTGCGCAAGTCAGTATTCCGGGATAAGGCCTAAAAGTACAATATGAGGCCACATGATTCAGTAGTATGCATCATTCCTACCTTACAGTGATGGGAGCATCGCCACTTCTGTTCGTGTAGTTAACAATGGCATTAAAGGACTGGTTAATCCACTGCCATAAGACCACGGCTGGTGTTGTTCTAAAAATGGAAAAAACAGCAGATAGCATTTACAGGCTCTTTTGACGTGGCTAATAGGCAGTCGCTTGAAAGGCTGGATTTGGACATCTGTGTTCTAGCAGAATTCACATCTGCAAAGTCTAGCCATTTTATAAGAATCTTTTGACAGATGTATACATTTTCTGGTTTCTCTAGCAAGCTGAAAACAAGATAATCTACATTAAATACAAGAATCTATTGTGGAAATTGAATAAATACAATTTGAAAAGGAAAATGTATGTGTGTAAATATATATTGTAATAGGCAGCACTTTTTTTATAACCAGCTTATAACCCGTCTAAGTAAAAAATTGCTTATTTTAGAAGTTATTTTTCAAACGTATTCAACACACATTCTAAAAATGTACCAATTTGTATGAAGAAAATGGAGAATGTCTCTACCATGCCCAATTTAATTCAATATATTTAGCACAAAAGTAACCTATATTTAAAAACATGCAAATTACTAATCTATATTTCCACAAGTGAAGAAAAATTATAAAAGAAAAATTACATGAATATTATTGTTATTCATATAGTGCCAGCATATTCCGTAGCAATTCAGAATATTATTAGAGGGGGAGATTTAATAATAAATGAGACAATTACAAAAACTTACCGGAACAATAGGTTGAAGAGGACCCTACTCAAATGAGCTTACAGTCTAGAGGAGGTGGGGTATAAAACACAATAGGACAGGAAAAATCAGTCTAACAAGGTGGGAATGAAGCAGATCTGGAGGAGAGAGTGGAGTTCTGCACTTTAGGAAAGAGCAAAGGACAGGTATGTGAGGTAGAGCTTACTGTTGCAGGCCAAAAGCTTTCCTGAAGAGATGGGTTTTGCGGCACTTCTTAAAGAAACACTATAGCGTTAGGAATACAAATATGTGTTCCTAATGCTATAGAGCCCTAGTCACCGCTTAGGTGACTAGAGCCCCGATGCGTGGCGAATAAATGGTAAATTAACCATTTATTTGCTTACCTTAATCCAGCGCTGGGCTCCCTCGGCACTGGTGACCTCTCCTCCTCCATTGACGTCAGTTCCCGCGTGGAGCCTAATACGCATGCGTGGCCAGAGGCGTGCACGCATTCAAACGCGCACATAGAAAATGCTTTCCTATGGGGATCTTTTTTGATGCTGGACTCTGTGCGGACGTCCAGCGTCAAATAAGTGTGATTTACTCTGTGTAAATCGCGGCGGCCTCTAGTGGCTGTCAGGAAGACAGCCACTAGAGGCTGGATTAACCCTGCAGTGTAAACATAGCAGTTTTTCTGAAACTGCTATGTTTACATCTGAAGGGTTAAAACCACCCAAACCACTTCACTGAGCTGAAGTAGTCTGGGTGCCTATAGTGGTCCTTTAAATGATCGAAGACCAGGTGAGAGTCTGATGGGCGTAGGCAGGCTATTGCAAAGGAAAGGAGACGCCCGTGAGAAGTCTGGTGAGCGTGAGTTGGCCATACGGTGTGAGCAGCGGACAAGAGAAGGTCATGGGCAGAGAGGAGAAGCCGAGAAGGGGCATACCATGGATCAGCGAAGAGATATAGGAGGGGCAAGAATTGTTCAGTGTTTATAGATGTGAATTAGTACTTTGAATTGATGTCTATAGGACACAGGAAGCCAATGTAAGGACTGATAGAGGGGAGAGCAGTACAGACTGTAGTGGGGCAGTACAGATAATGGGAAGACAAATTAGGAGAGAGTTACAATAATCCATGCAAGAGATTACTAGAGCATGGACAAGCTCCTGTGTAGCGTCTTGCGTAAGAAAGGGGTGGATGCAGGCAATATTTTTAAGGTGGCATTGGCAGGATTTGACAACAGGCTGGATGTGAGGCTCAGAGAAAAGGCAGTGTTTACATTGCTTCCTAGTGACACCTTTAGTGACAGTCACTCAGACGGTCACTAGAGGTGCTTCCTGCATAGTAGGTGAACGTTCCGCATAGAGATGCATTGATTCAATGCATCTCAATGAGGAGATGCTGATTGCTGCAGCGTTTTGCAGACAATCTTATGGCAAAACATTGGATTAGTTGAGATCATATAGCTTGATAATCTCAGCCATAGAGGCAGGGCCAGTTGAGGGGAGACCAGCATGGCGTAAAAAACTAAAAAGTGAATAAAACATAATTCCCTTGTGAACGGAAGGGGTCTGGTAACCTAAACAAACACATCATGAAGGACAGACAGACACACACACGCCATGACACACATATACCATGTATAGCATAGCAGAGGCATCACAGCTCCCTATTCGTGTCTATTATTGGTGTGATGGGGAAAGGGGGGCAGGGTGGCGTAATTAGCATAAAATGGTTCTGAAAGTGAAAGATGCAAAAGAGCAGAAAGTAGAGAGAACGCAAGCAAAAGAACTACAGTACACTTCAATTACGAGTCTCGTCGGCATGGTGCTTATTCTGATGTTGCTGGAGTTATTAAGTACTGAAAATGCTGTGTTAAGAGTTGCCATTGATTAATGTGAATATATAATTTACAGGGTTATTCATTATGATGAACATTGTTGTTAATTGAATAGCCAAGCTAGTTAAAACTGCCAAATCCACTATTCTTCCAGCTGCGACTACTTTGACCTCAAAGGAACACTATAGGATCAGGAACACAAACATGTATTCATGACCCTATAGTGTGAAAACCACCATTTAGGTGGCTTGTCCCCCCTTAGCCCCGTTAAAAGGTAGGAGAACCTACCTTATTTCCGCCCCCCTTGCTGATCAGCATTTAGGGAAAGCATTGGATTGGCTGAAATCAACAAGGAGGCTGGACCAAACACCGGCTTGACCAAGCAGCATTTTCTCATAGAGATACATTAAATCATGAGGAAAAGTCAGTGTCTCCATGCAAAGCGTGAAGACGCTGAATGGCCGGAAACACCTTCAGTGGCCAAATAAAAGGCAGTATTTACATTGCCCCCTAGGGATACCTCCAGTGAGCACTCCTCAGATGGCCACTGTAGGTATCCCTATGGGACAATGTAAACACTGCCTTTTCTCTGTTTACATAAAAATGCCTGCAGGGAATGATCATACTCACCAGAAAAAAAAAAAATACGATGAGCTGTAGATGTTCTGGTGACTATAGTGTCTCTTTAAAGTCATTTTAAAGTCAGAAATCCATGTCGACAAGACCCAAAGGTCAAAACTTTACAGTCAATGTTAAGCTTTTGGTCTGATCCAACTACGCAGGTAACAATCATGATAAGCAAATTGCATGATTGTGGTAATGCTTTCCTTGTAAGACAACCACATGCAGCCTTCACGGACATCAGTATAATTTCTTACCTGTAGAAAGTCATCATACAGCCAGTGATCGTCATATTCATTGGTACTTGAGCAGACATTCTTCCGATTAATATCATCTTTTCACCAGTGTCTGGGTGGAATGCTGAATCATACACATATTTTGCTCTCCATAGTTCATCTTCAGTGAGTGTTGGGTTCACAATGCCCTGCCTTGTATAGAATAGAAACAGAAGTGGTGCGATTGACCTTATGTGGATAACTAAAGATATCACTCAGCATTTTACTGATTACTGCAGTACAGTTAAACACTTGATAGCCTGATATCATAAAAGATGCAAACTAAAAAGTCTCATAGATAAACTAAGACTCAGGGAATAAAATTAGATATAAAACCTGCATATCCCATTTAAATGCTGGCACTGCATTACTACTTGTTACAAGATAAACATTACAATGTGACAAACATTTTCCCAAAGTTTACTTTTTGATAACACTATTAGCTCTCACACTTGGCCTTATGCACGCTGAAGGTCAATGCCCCTGGGTAAACCAGGAACTTACAAGGTTGCCACAGAATCCATTATGAATTAAAATCATTGATGAGGACTAAAACGGACATATTCTTATTTTCATTCTGATAATAGCTAGTAGGATCACTGCGAGCTTTACTCTAACAGTACATATGAGGACAAACACACCGTGGTTGCGGATTAGCCACAATCTCAGCAGCCAAGTTACACTATTAACTTTTTTTCTGATTGTTATGGAAGTTCCATAATGACTCTTCATTTAAATCTGTCATATGGAAGCATTAAACATACAGTGTGGAATGTTCACTCACCCCAAGGGTCCATACTGAGTTGGATGAGGGAAGGTTGGTCACATATTTTAAAGGGAAACTATAGTGCTAGAAATACAAAATTGAATTAACCTCTTTAATTATTGCAGTTATTGATAGACCGTGGCAATGCACCCAGACCACTTTAATAAGCTGAAGTCGTCTGGGTGCCTATAGTGTCCCTTTAAGGTGTAATTAAAATCTATACATTTCCTAGCATTAAACATTAGTGGCATGTACCAGAATAGGCACACTTTAAGCAAATGGATAAATAAAAGCATAGACATTTTGATCATTTCCCATTTTCATTGAGAAATGTGCATTCTTCTATTGAGAATGACTGACACCTTAGACTTATATTTGATTCGTTTATGGAATGCTCGTTCCAATAACAAGGAAGAGAGTTTATGCATATTACTGTGTAGCAGTCTGTACCTGTAGTCGTGAACGATCTGCCTTGCGTGCTCCAGCTGTTCATCGGGCAGAAGGATATTCCTCGGATCAGTGACTGTAAAAAAATGCTTGGCCCTTCCAACGAAGGTGCTCTGATCCCAGCGCGGTTCCTTGATGTTAATATTTAGAGATAATTCACCTGACATTTTTAGAATCTGTGCAAAACAAAGTGCATATAAAACGGTTAAATCTGACTATTTCAGAAACCTATCAGATTAAAATTTGTATCAATAAAAGGCTATTTTACTATGTGTTAAATCTTAGATATAAAAACCATTCACAAAATTCCTATAAAAAAAAGTTCACAATGTTTGAATGGATAAGATCCCTATACTTTTCACCTAGAGCTACATTCTGTGTAAATGATGTATATACAGATCTTTCCAATGAGCAATGGGACTGAACAGGGGTGTATCTTTCACTGCTGCTCTTTGTCCTTGCCATCAAACCCTTTCTTCATTAAATTCGATCGAACATAAGGGGGCAGCTTACGCTGATGACTTTTTTCATTTTATTTTTTTATTCTGAACCAAGAAACTTCTTACTGGGTAATGACAGAATTCAAGATACATGGCATACTATCTCACCTAAAGATTAACTTTTCCAAATCTACCATTTTAAATGTTCATCTACTGAAGTATGTGCCAATCCGATCTATCTGTTTAATTTTAACAACATAATTCAACCAATACTTGGCTCACTAAAAATGTATCCAGTTTGTACGAAACTGAATTCTTCCCCATGTTTAAAAGTGCTCTATAGACACCCAGATCACTTCACGCCTACAGATGTGCTCATAGAGACCTTCTGATTGGCGCAGCACAACGTTTTGCCAAAGCATTTGATTGGCTTAGATTATCAATCTCAATGATCTCCGATAAAGAAGCGGGGCAGAATGCCAGAGACCAGAGCTAAAAGGAGTAAAGGCAAATATAACCCACCGTTTTAACGATAATTAGGGCACTATAGGGTTTGGAATACACATTTGCATTCTTTTTTATTTATTTTTTTTTTATTTTTTTTTTGTAGTGCGTAAGTTTTTAACAGTCGCTTGTGAGGTACCCCAAAGGCAATCCTCTAGCGCATTTCAAACAGTAAGGCATAGAGGTACTTGTTAAGGCTAGCACATTTTTATACATATATATGATTACGTCGCGTAATAAACAGTGTGTATTATCATTACTTAGTCTCTTCCATAACATAAAATAACTTCGTTGATAATGGGGGTAACAATCAGGCTAGGGCAAGGCAGTATGTAACTGGGGTAGATAGGGTTAAACACTCCCTTCCTAGATTCTGGCTACACATGGTTATGCAGTAAATGTAGTTATAAGTGCGCTAAGCTAGACGACAGTGGAGTAAAATTAAGTTAAATCTCGAGAGGGAGCAGGCTAGTTCCACATGTCCAAGCTGGAATATACATTTAAGTTAACTCAGGGAGGCTAGCTAGGCATGGTGATTGAAGTACAGTAAAGTGTCACTAACTTATGTGAAGCAGGCTAGTGTTGTAAGTTACTTGCCTATGTAGCATGTTAAGGTAAAAGAGAAACAGTGTTAAATTAATGTTAAACTATTTGTTTTGCCTGGCAGATCAGGGTGTGAGTAGCACTTCACTTGAGCTTACGCTTCCAACTCATAGCTCGCCAACAGCATATGCAGTTTTATAGGGAGAGAGGAGTCTGTGAGGCAGTATAGCCCGGTGCCCAGAGAGTCAGTGCTTTTGCTCAGAAATCCACTCCGGGGCCCGGGAGAGTTGTCTGGGCCTCAGCTTGTGGGGTCTTCCGTGGTCAGCCGATGCCTGCCCTGCTGGGCTGTTGGTGCTGAGTGTGAGTCTCTTGGGTGCTATGTGCACTTGTGCGGCATGGTAGGTGCCCCCTCGGGTTTGGCCATTGTGGGTAAGTAGTCTCAGTGGTCTGCATGGAGTCCCTTTTTGTGGGCCCAGCTCCAGCTGGATTCTGCTTAGTTTTCGCCTGTGCTGCGGTGTGATGCTCCGCTTTAGCCCTGGAATGCAGAGTGGTTACATGCTGGCCTGGGGTTCTGTACTTGGGTATGTTGCTTGGACTTTGGGTTTGCCCGGCGGTCTCTGTCCTGTGTGTGTGGGAGCGAGCGTGTGCATCCGGGTCGCTTGAGTCCCTTTCCCGCCATTGTGGTCGTCGATGCTTGCGTGGCTGGATGGCCGCTTTGAAAGTCTGCAGTGGGAGTCCATAATGGCGCCGGCGGGACGCTGGACGAATCCATGAGGCCACCACACAGGTTGCTTGACGGTATGGCATTCCGCCGTCATATAGTATCGCGCATAGGCTCGAGCAGAGCCGGTCAAGGGCCTCCAGGGAATAAGCGTGTGAATGGCTGTCCATGCTCCCTCTCTCTGGCCTTAGCTTGGCGGCCATCTTGGATGAGCTCCAGCTGATTCGTGTCTCTGCAGGCTGTGTAGCCATGGTTGCTCGTTTGCAGCTTTACCAAGGTGAGTGTTAACTTGGTGGGATCCGGGATAACCCCCACCGGACTGCAGGGGGGGTTCCGGGGGCCTTGTCGCACTCCTGGCGTGCCCGGCCAGGTCCGGTCGGAGGATTGGCCGCCTCCCCCGCCAGGCCCTAGACCAGGCCTCAAGTGTTGCCTGTCGGCTGCCGCAAGTCAGCTCCGGATCCCTAATTGCTTCTCGAGATGCCCAGGAGCCTCCGGTCATAGGTTTTCAGCCTGAAAGGGCTACCGAGCAGTGAGTTTAGGCATTAATGTGAATTTTGGTCCGGAGCTGATGTGTAGTGCGTCCACTCGGTTTGGCGGTCAGGCCCCGCCCCCCTAACATGTTTTTTTAACACCATAAGTTCAGTTTGTGTTCCTGATCCCATAGTATTCCTTTAAGGATGTGTTTATTATTTCTTGTCTTATAGAGAAATATAATGCCAATCTAAATTAAACTGATTGTATACTTGGGGTTGATAGAAAGTCTTATAGGGTTATTCACTAAAATGAAAATTGTCAGAAATTCAAAAGTGAAATTCGAATTTAAAGCCACAATAGTTTAATTGAATGCAGTTAACTTTTGTTTCTCATGCAGAAACAAAAAAAAAAATGATTAAGGCCAATTGTTTCCAATTTCCAGTTTGGCTATTTTGGCCTTACATTTCTTTTTTTTCTTTTTATGCTTGCTTCCACGTTAGAACTAAAAGTAAACTGAATAGAGGATGCCTGTCTTACACCATTAGCAGATACTACCTGCTTTAAGCTAACAGCTGCATGACAGCTAATTATGCTGCAGAAGCCTTTGCATTGTAGCCAATCAACTTAATTTGTCAGAACAAGTGCAATGAGTGTCGATGACTCGGATAGCCCGTATGCAGTGATGGCAGCGTGTATGCCCATAACACAAAGGCATTTATTCTCTGATTAGGTTCATTCAATTTTTTACCTTTGCTCCTATGAAACAATGCTATACAAAGAAAATGTTTAATTCTTTTTAAACTTGTATTAGTCATTTGAAGTTTATCCCCTGCAGTAAAAATTCCCCTCTTTCAGCAATATTAACTTTATAATCTGTGATTTTGCTACTATGCAACAACAATTTATCTTGAAACAAAAAAATTTCTACAACCTGTACAAAACTGATACATTAAAATGATGATCCAGAAACGCTGTCTACACATTAAACCATTCTTTGCAAAATTCCCCTATGTTAAATTTGCATTCTGATAAAAGAAGCTATATTCTAAGATTTTTTGAGATTTTCTAAGCAGCAATACATATAATCTATCCCTGTCTTCTCTTAGTGAACTGGGTACGATAACCACCTAAATTCAGCTAAAACTTAATTTATCATATGTTGTGGAAGAATACTTAGTTTATAAATCCAAATCTGAAATAAACATGCATGCATACAGGCATATACAACTATTCAATTTTATCTGGAATGCTGTTTCTCTGAGTATTACTATGAAATTTTGCCAGGACTGTACACTAACTTTTATTTTCTATTATGGCAAACCATTATTCAGTCCTATATGCCACCTAAATATTTATCAGTGATCCCTGTTGACCTCTAAAGGTTTTGTTTCAGCGGACCCCAATTTTCTGAGATGTCTGGATGACAATCTATGACTCAGTGATGTCCACTCCAGCATGGAAATGGTTAAGGTCACAAGATTTCCTGGGGCACTACAAATTGGTTGAACACATATCTCCAGTATCCTGTCGAGGCAGTGTATGCAACAATCCACACAAATTACACAAGCCCAAGGACATCTGCTGTGTGGCTATACAGACACTCTTGCTGACTACTCTTCCAATTTCTACCTCCTCCCACCTTCTCTCCCCCCCCCATCATTTTTGCTACCCCCGCCCTGAGCTGTCCCCCACAGAGTTTTTGTTTAGTGAAGAACTTCATGACATGCTGAATGAGAGAGGGGATCAAAGTGAGACATGGAGGGAGCAAGAAGAATAGCAAACGTTACTTGCGAAGACTCAGAATACAAATTTAATACTGAAGCAGTGCCTCAGCTTCACAAAACCTATTGTTTTTGGAGACAGGGGTCTTGTTAATTTTTAAAATGCTAATGCGTTCTTTGACAACATTTTATTTATGGATATAAACTTTTAAACTGTAGATAAAATGGGCCATGCCTTGAACGGGCTAAAGTTTCTCTGCCACAGAGGACACTTTTAAAGAGAAACAAGAGTAATTGTATCCAGATTCACACAGTTATGACATGCTACATTACAAGAAACGGTCTATAATTTTATAATATTTGACATTTATTCCCCTGTCAAAGACATGTGAGCTTTAAAATACAGCACATAGAGGGGATCATTCAGCAGCTGTCTCTCATTGCTCCTGCAGTGAGCATTGCCCTTTTTGTAGTTAGTCCACACAGAGTATCCTAATTCTGCTAAGTGGCCCACCGGTGTCATCAGAGCACATTTCCTGTCGATTTTGTTATATTATAGTTCATGTGTAAAAATAACTTAATACTGCTAAAGACGAAAAAGTTATTTTTAAAGATTAGTCGAACTTCAGGTACATCTTGTAACATAATGCTTGACTTTTGGCACCCTACAATGAAATATACAATCGACTTTAAAAGAACAGTCATATTTTAAAAAATAACTAATGCTAATGTAATAATCATCACTATTGTATTCTGATTAATTTCACTGTATGTTATGGCTTTGATGAGAGAAATCATAATTAGTTTCTACCTCCGACCCAACCTTGATGTCTGACATGGTGCCACATGAATCTAATTCTAACCCAGTCACACCAGGAAATGAAACGACACTGCGCACACCTTAGCCAGTTGCCCTCAATATGCACTCACTATAAGGGAGTAGCTGAAGGTAAGTTCTCTTTTCTTTTAAGAAATGCTAATGAACATTGATTAAACATTTAAATCTGCTTATTCTGATCACAGAAAAATTGCTTCTGTAACATAAAAAATGCTTATGTAAAATAAAAAATGCCTCTGTAATATAAAGGCAGATACAATTTAATTAACAAATTCAAATGTAGGCCACAGAATCATCCAATGCAGAATCCACACTCTGAAGTTAATTCAGTATACCCAGACAATTACTTTATAATATAAATTTGGGAAATAGCTGGGTTGGAACATTTTCTAATTTCATTATTTTTAGCTACAATTTTAAATGTGCTTTTTTTTTCATTTTTCACAATTTCCAATTTAATGAATAACTTTAGCTGAAAAGTAGAAAAGTCCCAAAGGTGTAAAGCATACTTCTTAACGGTACAACCACACCAAGAAAAATGTTGGGGGTTGGGGTCAATTTGAGGAATGACTTAAACCTTAAACTTTATTTCCCTGCATCACAGGTAGTCAGGTTATTCATGATTATAATTCCAAATTCCAAGCCACTGCTTTCTAAATATACGCCATCAGAATTAACAACAGAATCATTATCAACATCACCATTTGAGAAAACAACATTATAAAGATCTCTGCACTGAAAATAAATAAACAAATGAAACAATAGCAGTGGTACATGTTGCACCTAAAGCCATATAAGTTAAATTCCCCTTTTGTTGCTAAATTGGAAGGGGGAGGGGGAGGGAGTTAAGAACCCATTCACAATTGGCAATCATCAGTCATTTTCATGGGATTCTTCTCTTATTTGTCACAATAAGTGGGAGTTAGAAAAAGTAGGTGGGTCCATTTAGGAGCTGATCATCAGCGATGTGCCTCATTTTGGGACAAGAACTGGAGATAAAGCAAACACATGCAGAGATTAAATACTAGTAGCAGACAAAGAAAGTTACCAATACATTTTGTGGAAGCAGGGAGTGCAGGAAACATAGATATGAGTGTTCAGGTTATTTAAAAAAATGTTATTTAAGGAACCAAGACAGCTGCTAAAAACACCAACTACTTTAAGCAAGGAAAAGGGAAAAGGGCAGAGGCTTCAGGTAAATAACATATTAAAACTCAGGTAAAGGTCAGTTTCCACATCTGCTCATTGGAGCGTTCACCCAAGTTCCCATCCAAAGGAATAAGTGACTGAGCTAAGGATGTCACGCAGGAAGCAGAGGAAACCCCAGCAGCTCATCTCTGACTGTGACAACTCAACATCTTCCGAAAATGGTAAGGACAGACACTTGAGCCAAGTTTGTATGTGTAATGGCTAGCTGGACAAAACTATTGAACTATTCAGAGGCGGATTGGCAAAGCATCATGGGAGTTGTGGTTCTACAAGAGCTGGGTAGCTACCTTTTAGCCACCCTGATCCAGATGTTGATAAGAGAGGGAAAGTCTTAATAGTCCACAGGAGGGGGCGAGGAGGGGGGAGGCAAGAAAAAAAGTTCACAGTCTCTCAGTTACAAGTCTTGTACCGTAGTTTATAAAATGAGTGAATACTTATTGTTCGGCTTGTATCAAAGGGAACCTTCTAACTCTGGTACCTGGATCCTATTTCTGCATTTAGTCTTTTGTCATATATTGCAGAGATGTATTGCTGTACCTTTTTACTGTTGTTATGATAAGATAATAAAGTCATATGTGACTTAGTAGTATAAAAGCTCTAGCAGCCAATGTTATTTATTAAAAACGTGTATGGAATACAGAAAATGCTTATTTATCATTTCATTCCAACTTACATTCAAATTCAAGATTAGTGAAGTAATGGGAAAGTAGGAAACCTGTCTCTTTAGTCACTGTTGCACTGCAAAGCCCATCATGCCCATTCAGGAATTCCAGAGTGGCCACAATGGGGGTTGTTGACTGCAGTAGCTGGGATAAAAGTGTTTGCTCATCTGATAATCAGCAATTTGAAATGAAAGAATAAAAAAAAGAAAATCAGATGTTTTCATTATTACTGGCAATGATACAGTTTCCTACTTTAAGCAGTTTTAAGTGCTAAATTCAGGCCAAAATTGCTGATTAGAAATGAGTCACAACTTGGCTATTTTAGTCTGATTTTGCAATTCAATTTT